CTATCGGAAATTTTAAATAGGTTTGTTTAGAAGCCGTTAAATTAAAGGAAATTCGTTTAGGTCAGAGAAATTGAAGTTTTCTAAGTTTGTAGCGACCAAAGGTTATTTCTTTTCTTTAACTTTACTTTTTTCGGTTCATTTTAATCTTGATAGATCTTGAATTTTAATTATTTTTACAAGAGAAATCGTACTTTTGTATGTACGCTTAAATTGTATTTATGTATTGGTCCACAAATTGAAAAAAAAAATTATCGTTTCCATATAGTAAAGATGTTTGGAGAATAGTGTACCTAAAGATGAAAACTTACAATTTTTCAGAAGAAGCGAATTTTTTTTTCGTTTTTTCGATTTTTTCCGTTTCCGCCCAATTTATTCAATAAAAATCTGACACACCCGTTCCGCTTTCTGAAGCATGTTGAAGGACGATGTTTCAGTTGAGAAGGTAGTTTTGACAAACAATATGTATAAAATACGAATCTTCCAACAGCGTGGAAAACTGTAAGTTGAGATTGAGTCAAGATTCACTAAAACTTAACTTGCTCAAAAAATTCAATGCTCTTTTAAATCTCGGACTCTCACGAAACAGTTTCATATAAGAAAATGCTTGAAACGTGGTCAAGAAAACAGTTGCAACTCTCTTGACTAACAAATTGTAAGTGTTATATTTTAATTCTGATCATTCAGAAATCGTGAGATGCGGTCTGGTGTGATGTAGGTTTCAGAAAAACATTTTCTTTATCGTGCCAACGTTTCGATCTTTATTGAGATCATCTTCAGGGCCTGGGATTTACAAACATTATTTATATTTAACTAATACATTTAGGATGTGGAAAAGTGAATTTATACAATGCAAAATATTTTTTTTATTTTTTTTATATTCAATCAAAGCATTTCTATCTTTAATTCTGATGTTAGCTAATTATATGGTATCATTGTGTACGAAACCATAGGTTTTTGTCTCAACAAAGTAAAATTTTATATAACTCTGTTTTCATAGGTTTATAATTTTTTTATAATAATTTGTGCAAAAGAGTGGTTTATGGTAAACAACCTTTAGTAAGGCATCTATTATTTTATGTTCTAGCCGTATATGTATATTCTGTATATTATTGAATATATGGTTTTAAACATTTCATCTATTAATAACTGTTATCGCTGATTCCATTGGATATTGCTTCTATGTGCATATTATTTTTTTATTATTAATGATATCGTTTTATATTTTTGTTAAAATCACAAATACAAGGGGAGGCTACAAACTTTGGTCAAGACTTGTAACATATGTCAGACACTTGACCAAACTTTCTGGCCGATAGGACAGTCAAGAAAATTTTTTTTTAGGTTATTTAAAACATTGTTGTTAAATATGGCTTTCTGCCTTTTTGTGCATGTATTCCAAGGTAATTTTTTTGTACCTATGATAAAACAGAATATTCAGAATAGTATTAAATGAGATTGGACAATTAAGTTTCAAAAAGGACGCTGTTAGTAAAGTAGGCCAAAAAAATCATTTTTGCAAAAAACTATTCGGATATGTAAGAACCGCAGTTGTAAAACAAAAAATATACATTTTTAGGCTGGATCAGCAGGGGGCATTTTTTTTTTTTTTTTGCTCATGACCAGTACTGAACTTCAAAATAATAATTTATGGTTATATGGTTATTAGGGTAGAAGTCGTGTTCATTACGTGCAAAATGGAAAGCTCTAAACCTCTATAAAACGATTATTATTCGAAAATCGTGAGATGCGGTCTGGTGTGATGTAGGTTTCAGAAAAACATTTTCTTTATTGTGCCAACGTTTCGATGTTTATTGAGATCATCTTCAGGGCCTGGGATTTACAATCATTGTTTACATTTAACAAATACATGTAGGATGTGAAAAAAGTGAATTTATACAATGCAAAAAAAATATTTTTTATATTCAATCAAAGCATTTCTACTCACTCAAAGTGTTTGTTTTCTTCGTAATTGTGCTATTCTTGTTGAGAGTGCCAGTGCCACGTTTTCTTGTGCCCTCCATCTGTGGTTCACCAACAACCAAACGCAGAAAACAAACACTTTGAGCTCTGAAGATGATCTCAATAAAGATCGAAACGTTGGCAGGATAAAGAAAATGTTTTTCTGGAACCTACGTCACACCAGACCGCATATCACGATTTCTGAATAATTATCGATTAACGGTCACTAATCACCACTCATTTATACATCAACTGATCCAAATTTGCTCGTAAATACACTAATTATTTTTGTGCCTTTGCAAAGTAGAAACCGTATTTAAATTACCTAAAAGACTCATTTCTTGGTTGCTACGAACTATTGGCAAGTACGAGGGTTTGCAACAGCAGAGGTCATATAAACCCTCAGGATGCCGGTGTTTTTGAATAAAAGCCCATTTGTAAGTATGTCGCGTTCAAATGCAGGGCCGCTGGATTCGAACCCGGGACCTTTACCTTACAGTGATGAGCGCCGTGTCAACGCCTAAACCGTTGCGGCCACCGATGCCCCGTTTATGTTTTTCTTATTCTATATATTTTTTTTTTTGTATCTCAGAAAATCTTTTCAACGATGTATTTCACTTTTCATTTGTTTCATTTTGTTAGCTAACTTTGCAAAGTACATATCAAAAATTTATTGAAAACTTTATGTACGATTTCAATGGGATTATGAAGAACATATTGTCCAATCTGCATTTTGCGACAGGCATTAGTATAAACTTACAATTACTCTGTTTACATTCAATTGGAAACTGTTTTCTGTCCGTCTTTCCTAGGAGATACGAACAACAAGAATCAAAATTTAAATAAATCTTACCCAAATTTTCCATGCTTTGTGTAAGTAGGGCTTCGAAGGTGTGTAGTGAATAGCTTTCAGCGTCCATCCCCTTAGCAAGAGTGTTTCTCAGATGCATTTCGTATTCCATCAACAGTCTGCTTGTCGGTGAACTTGGTGTTGAAACGGTTCCTAAGCCATCTCTTCCGCCGTAACCTGCAGAGAACACCAGTCATTGACAACAGCCGATGCGAATTACAAGGTGCTAAGGATGTACGTCATATCGGTATGGTTATACATTTTACAGTGAGCTACGATTACAAAAAAAATTAAAAAACTATATGTATATATACAAAAACAATATAGTCGAATACATTGACATTAAAAGCAAGATATTTTTTCAATAGATTTATGATAAAATATAGTCAACGTGCATTTTTAACTTCTGACTTGAAACAAGCCAAAACTTATATTATTTATGGTTACATTTTATAAAAATTATTTATAAATTCAACTTCAAATAAAGAAAAGAAGCGAATAAATATGTTTAATAACTACAAATATTTCTCAAATAAAATTATAACATTCCTAAAAAGTGTTTCTGTGTTCTAAAGGTAGTTTTCCAAAGTTAAGTGGGGTTTGAGTGCTCAAGGTAGACACAAACATGCACAGTGCTCCCTAGAATACAACATTTAAGAAATTTTAAAATCTATTATGTGTGGCAATATATATATATATATAAAATGATCTCTGTGCTCTTTACAAACGCAACACCACACCCAGTTGGCTGATGTTCGTTTTATTTTTAATATAATTTTAATGGCCATATTTTTATGGTCTTACCTTATCTATCTTTAGGCTAATAGAACTTATCTAAGGGGATGAAAATTTATCGAAGGTAACAGAGAAAACAAATGGTATTAATGGAATGAAAGATGAGATTTGATGACACTTAAGGATAAATAATACGTCAAATTTGAATGAAATGGTGTTCATTTGGTGTAAAACTTATTTTAACATCAAACAGCAATTACATTATATGTATAAAATAGTTTAATAATTTAATGGATAAATAAAATAATATAGTAATTTTACAATTGGAATTAGTCTTTATGGGACCCAAGTGGCAAAGCAAACGCGTACCCCCCAGTGTTTTTACTGGCTAGCAAGGAGTGAAAAGTGCTGTAAGATCTTTAACCCCCATTATTAGAAGAAACAATAATAAACATATAATATAAAAAAATATGTTGATCTTCTTAAAGTAAAAATTATTAACATTTTAAAAATCAAAAATTCAGCACAGAGACGTCATGCGATGAAAATTTCCGGGTTTTTTTCCATATTGACTTAGTACTCGGGATTATTGTGCTGTAGTGTCAATTAACAAAGAAAATGTTCTCCTTCATGCAGAGAATGTGTTAAAAGAAAAGATCAATAAAGTGGTCAATGAAGTTTGTGTTTTGTCAACAGTGATCATTAAAAATAACTTTTGAAAAGTTAATAGGTTAATTTTTCATGAACTGTCTGTTAGCAAATTAATCATATTACAATAGCCCCGTTTTGGTTAATTAAAATTATTTATCATGCAGATTAAAATTTCGTGTAAATTACAAAATATAATGATACATTTATAATTGTAAATTAATGACGGTTAAAAATTAAAAAACTTTATAATTAAAAATCTTTAATTGATTTAATATAATCGTATGTTAAAATCTTTTAGAGGAGTTCATAATAATCTGTAAAACAGGGAAAGTTGATTAAGTATGGAATTTTAGTTTTAAAACTTTAACACGAATAATTGTTAAAAAGGATGATTATTTAGTGTTAGTGAAATGCGGTCTGGAGTGATGTAGGTTTAGAAAAAAGATTTTTTATCCTGCCAACGTTTCGATTTTTATTGAGATCATCTTCATGGCACAAGGTGTGCGTTTTCTGTGTAGATATAACACAGAAGATGAATGAATGAAGATCAATAAAGGTCGAAACTAATTATTCTTTAATAAAGTATTGGTTAAGATAAAAAAAGTCAGTGTCACGAGGGGGATTCGAACCCGTGACTTTCGGCTAAATACGCCGCTGTTCTACCACTTAAGCTATCGTGACTTGGATCCACTCGAACACAAACTTCCCATTTCTACCCAATCTTTCAAATTTTCCCTCCTTTTTGCCATTTCTCAAATGGCGTGTAATCTATTATTGTATATCTATTATCTACTGAGAGCTTTAGTGAATTATACTTCATTTTGCGTAGTAAATCGATTAATATATTAATGACTTCGATCCACTCGGATACCAACTTCTCGCTCGTGACACTGACTTTTTTATCTCAACCAATACCTTACTTAAAGATTAATTAATTGAAAATAATTTATTTGGTCAATCGGACCACGAAGCCTAATCGATTTAAAGATCGAAACGTTGGCACGATAAAGAAAATATTTTTCTAAACCTACCACACCATACCGCATCTGACAATCTCTAAATAACCATTAATTAACGGTTAGTAAAAACTACACGTTAAAATGAATGATGCACTTAGCATAAGTAAATATTATTTAAACTTCTTTAAAGTTCAAAGGTTAATCCAACAGAGAAACAAAAGTATTAACACTTCATGCGAAGAAAATATCAATGTACAACTGAACGACTGGAAAAGTAGTAAATTGTATTGGGGATAATTGTGCTCCAGTGTTTTTATTCAAATAATGAAGTCTGCATGCAGAAAAAATCGTAATAAAACAAAAACAAAAGTTTGTCTTTTAATCGGTTTAATGTTTTGTCGTTGAAATTGATGAATGATTTCTGGGAAAAGGTATTCTTATGTTCGGATTTTAAGTCGTGAATTTTTTTTTTCGGTTCCATTTTAAAACGCGACCAGCGAGTCACCTCTATGTGAGGAGGGCTGATCAAGATCCGAGTTGCCGTTGCTTGAACTGGGTGTGGTTGCGTAGCATTGATTGTCAAAGAGAACGTTGTCACTGGGTGGCGAAGCCTCACCGCCGCCATTCCCGGCTCTTTCGTGGCCCAGCTCGAGGTACAAAGATCTTCCGTAATCGCCTCTTCCACGGCCTATTTCGTGTGATGATCTAGACCCTGAAATAATAACGACCGGTTAGCGATTTTTAGATAAATAAGACTAATAGGTGTAGCATATAAAAATATTTTGTCACAATATGGTTTTAACTATTAACTTTTCCTTTCTCTTGTTTTATGTTTATTTGTATTTCTAAAATTTACTAACCATTAGTAATATTCGATCATGCTTGCCTTTTTTTATCGCTGATTAACATAAGCCATTAAACGCCAGATTAACAAGCATAACACGTTTTGGCAGTGCGCTCAGCATTGAGCCTATAGCCTATAAAAGAGATTTACACAAGGCGAAAACGCACTGACCAATAACTGAAAATATCAAATGGACAAAACGCAGACATTACAGGCAAAAATCATGATCAAACTTTGGCATGTCAGAATCAATTCGATATTTTGCCTTCTTCGCTTTTAGGTTTATGTGTTATTCTTAGTCTTATTTTTATTTATTTATATTTTTAGAGAGATATTAATGGGTTTTCTGATAGTTCTGTCTTTCGTACATTTAGTTTGGGTTTATTGTGTTCGCGCTGTTTTTGAGTTGTGTTTTATGTTCACTTAAAATGGCAAATGGACAAAACGCATCGCAAAGACATTACGAGCAAAAAAATCATGATCAACCTTAATAAAAAGGTCAACTTTGTCATGACAGACTAAATTCAACATTTTGCCATTAATAGGGTTTTCTGATTGTCCTGTCTTTCGTGCATTCAGTCTGGGTTTATCGTGTTCGTTCTCTTTTTAAGTTATGTTGTATGTTCATCAGTTGCCACGTATGGGATATGTTGTACGTGAATATATGTGTATGTATGTGAAATTTTATATTTTAAAATGTTTTAATATGTTTAATTAATATTCTTTATTTTTGCATTAAGACGAGTTTTTCGATGTTTGTTCTTTTCGGAATTATGTTCGATTATTATTTTAAGTTGTGTGGAGTTATATATGTATTTCTGAATATGTTCATTGTTCCATGTTTACGTATTGGTTCTTGGTAGTTTTCTGTGAATTTCTCTGCTGTATTTTGATAATTTCTGTTCTTTTTATATCAGTTTTGTCTAATTTATTAAATTACTAAAATTGTATTAAAAAAATTAGTATATTTTGTCTCATTCCCAATATTGGGAGTATGGTGCATGCTGAGAAATCGGGATATTATTTGTTGTTAGTTTATTAGTTTTTAATTGTATGGCCGTTGTTGTTTTATGTTGTATTTTCAACTGCTTGTTATTCATGTAACCAACGAACATGAAAAACTGTGTACATAATGGTGAACACAAAAAAACAATTTAAAATCAAATAAACTAATCATAGTAAATAGTAATTAAATTTATTTAGTTTCTCTGATAGAAGTGAAAGCCTCATGGATTAAATTTGAGATATTGATATTCAGATAAACATTTGTCAAACTCTATTGATGTCTATCTGTTTTGTATATTTTTAATTTTATTTATATTCGAAATTTATTTGTTAATTATTTTTTAAATAAAATTATTAAAGGACAATAAGGCTTTGTTTGTTGCATAACTAGAAAAAAGTTGCAGACCGAGGTGGCGTCCGACTCGTACTTGCCATGCTAGCGGTTTAGGGTTCGAATCGCAGCATAGCCCTCGACATTTTAATTGATATTACAAAGTAAAAAGTAATGTAAATTGGTTGATCCTTCGTATACGACACCCAACGGGTAGTTAGACGTTAAGACCCGAATTACTTTATTTTATTACCTTAAAAACTTATTAGAAAATATAAAAATATGCACCATCACTTCAAAACCAAACTGTATTAACAAGATTAGACAAATATACTTTTAAACACCGCAAAATAAAAGTTACCAATTATAATGAAACATTTTGTTTCTTTTGATTATGACGTGACTCTATTGAGTTTCTTCGTTTCAAATTAATAATGCCGTTACATAAAACTTTCTGCCCCTAACAAAAGTCAGGAGCTGGTCACACTCTGATAGCAGACACTCCGTAGGTTAGAAACGACCCAAAGGGCCATGGAAGAAACATGGGGACAAAGCGAAAGGACAAAACGAATCATCCAACAATCAGGGAAATGAAAATTGGCAGAGCTGGTATGAGAGATAGTAAATAAAAATGGGCAAAACCAGCAACTGACTGAAACCCAAAACTTATAAAGAGAAAAACTGAAGAAATAAAGAAAAAAGAAAAGGTGAGAAGGAGTATTCGCACCGAGCTTGGAAGAAATTGGAGAACCCTTACCTACAACCGAGAAAAATGGAAATCTATTGCAAGTTTCAAAAAATGATTTATATTATTTTATTCTCAACTACTGGTATTGAATATATATAAATATTTCCAAATTTTGTCTATATTTAATTTTTGGATACTGTGAGCTCTACTACAGCAGTTATGATGTAATTGCAAATAAATAAAATATGTGCTTAGATTTTGCCTTCTAAAATATTCGAATTTTGCTCAAAAAATGGTAAAAAATCGTTTATAATATACGCGTCATTCTTTAATATGTACATATACATTAATAATGTCACATAATGTTATTTTGATGTTATCATATAAAAGACAAATGTAAACATTATCCTGCATCTACAAAATCATAAAACGCCCATAGGTATAAAGCGGAAAGCTTTTGAAAGGTTGGAATCATATTAAATTTCTAAAACAGTGTTATGACGATGTTATTACCTGAAAACCTATTAGCCCGATGGCGTCCTCCGCCGGATTCCGTCTCCGACATTACATTTCGTGTGTTGTTGTTCTGTTGCTGGTAATGATTGTAATAGTTGTAACGCCGTCTCCCCATTTCCGGACTCGTAACCGGGCTTTCGAGAGATGGCATCGGCTTGAGCATCCTCTTCAGGGTGTTTGAATCGAGAGACATCTCTCTCCCTCCTGATTTGAAAATTGGACAATATATTATACAATTTTAATATTGAATAATTAATTTTCAGAAACGCCAAATTTCTCTTCTTTGGTAAAAATTAGAAAACTGGAACAGACGTGGGATCATGGATTTGAATTAAACTTCTTTTGCTGATACTAGATCGAAAATTATTAGACACGTGTCGGAGCGTCCTTGGTAATGGCTCTAGAGCCGAGAAAAAATTAGTGAAATATGGTTTTATATCATTATCACACATGTATTTCAAAATTATTATATATCAACTAATTTTTATTTTTAATGTAGGATAATATAATAATAAACAAGATCGCATTAAATTAAAATTAGCTAAGTAAAAAGTAAGAAAATCAAAACGACACTTCCTATATTAAAAAATAAAAGAAAAATTGTTAAAATTATATTATCTTAGCGTGATAACATTGTTGTTATTCTATTCTAGATTTTTATCACAATTTTTTTATCTAGACCCCCCCCCCCGAGTCAACCAAAAACTCACTTTTCACAAAAAGTAGTCTTTAATTTTTAAAACAAAAATCAATTTAGTTTTAAAAATAGACTACGTTTTACGAAAAATGTGTTCTTCGTTGTCCCCGTCCGTGGAATAGAGTGGATAAAGATGAAATTTTTTTTAAATAATCAATTTAGATTAGTTTTAAGCACCTTTTAGAACTCTGAAATACAAATTTTTATAGTAAATAAAGCATCATGGATGACCGGCTGCAATTTTTTTTGCCATGTTCTAGTTGTTCTGCTTAAAAATTAAAGTCCTGGTTTTATCTAAATTCAACGTTATGGAAACCGTTAGAAAGCTCAACCCTTCAATCCTATGCAACAAGGTTTTGATTTTTTCCATTACAAGTGAGAAGAATAAGAATGAAATTAATAAAAAAATCTTCAAATGTTTTATTTTATATCGCGAATTATGATTTATTTCCGGTGTCCAAATTCATGCTATCACGTGTAATTTATACAGTAGTAAACCCCAGTAAACGTTCCAGTAGATTTGTGCAATACTTTCAAAGTTATCGCTATTTTTCTTATTTTCAAAAAATATCGGAGAAATATGGAAGGCTTTTTTCACGAAAATCACAAAACTTATTTGGTTTTGAAAGTTTACAGGTTTTGAGAACATAATAAACTACAAGCTGTGACACAAATCTGATAACTAATATTCTTGTTTTACACCCCCTAAAAAACCTGAATTCAAGATTTTGGAAAATCAAAAAAACATTTCCTCCAGGTTTTTGCCTTCCAAATACATCCTCTAATCTATTTTAATGTGGTTTTGAATCTTATAAACTATACATAATAGAAAAAACATTAGTAAGTAAACTAGTACTGGCAATATAAAACAAAACTTCAGGCAGCACCTATCCACCCCCAAAATGTGTATTTTTCTTTATTATAAAAAGTTGTTTTTAGAGAAACTTTTCATATGTCTAATCTGTTTTGATACAATCTTCCATATTATTTAAATTATAATTATACAATAACAATTATAAACAAAAATAAATCGAATGATATATAATAACCTTGAAATAAATGTACAACAAAAGAAGAAAAATATATTTACATTAAATATTGAAATAAGCTAAAGAATTTTTTTCTTGGCTTCTAGGGCCCATATTGGAAAGACCCCTCAGACAAGTGGCTAATATTTTTCAACCGAGAATCATAAAAAATTCAGGTCAGATATTCCTATCTGTGTCCCTATCTTTCCTTTGTAAGCTATTGTATGTGTGCTCATATTGAGCATATAAAGTTTATACAAAGTCACAATTAAATAGCCGAATAAAAATATTAAATTGTAATCATTTTGTTTACGTAATGTCTTAATTTAAATTAAATTATTGAAGAGTATTGTGCTTAAAACTTTGTTTATAGTAGTTTGGAATTAAGTTGGTAATTCCAAACTACTAAAAGATGTTGATCTTTAGATTTTTACTATTGCATGTATAGTTTACTTTTTATGAAGTAAAAAATTTTCCATTTGACACAAAAAAAAAACAATCAAAATATTTATTAAACCTGGTTAAAAACAAAATAACGTAACGTGCACGTTTATATAGAATTATACACCTCCTAATTTTTAGGTACAGTGGATTTGGGTTCTAATCCCGGCATAGCACACGGAATTTAATTCATAATAATATGCAAATGTATTGTAAAGCGGTTTGATCCCTCGAGGTGACACCCAACGGGAAGTGGACATTAAACCCCTTTTGTGTGACAGGACGTACATTTAATCTTTAATAAAAGTGTGAAAATGTACTCGTATCATGTGTAAGTATGTATTTTACTTTGCAAATGTTACTGGCTTACTAAAAAGTCATTTCATATCGCTCAAAGAAAATGTATTGCGATAATTTCATTAAAATAAGAAAGTTATCATTTTATGTAAATGTAATAATATTTATAAATAATTATTAATTAAATGTAATATGAGCCACTATAGTAAAGCAATTAACGGCGCCATAGATACTAAACCGGCCGAACTGAACGGTATTAAAGGTTTAGTATCTTTTCTTAAGTCTATTTTTTTCAGGTTTTGGCCACTACTCACGATTATTGTTTCTTCGATTGTTGTTGATATTGTTATTGAGGTTGTTAATGTTGTTGTTGTTGGCCTGCCTCAGTTCCGCTTCTCGAACCATGTCGACTCCGTCCATGTTGCCGCCTACGTTCGATTGAGTTTGACTGTCTTTTATCATTCTAGGAGTGCAGGTACCCGTGCTTGTTTTCCCAGCCGACACGCCAGCTTGTGTCCCCTCGGACTTCTGTGTCTCTTCTCCCTGGAAAATATCCGGAGTTAAAATAGCATTTGTAAAAGTGTAGTAAAATTCATACTTCATCTGTCTGAGATCCTGCGGTATGCGACGCCTGCCCGTTGATCTTCCCTCCAGGCGTACTCGTCTCTCTGTCCCTTGTCTGCCTGCCTTTGACGCCCACCCCCAGACCCTGCTGTCCCTGCTGTTGACTCTGCTGTGTTGTCGTCACGTTGTCATACAAAGAAGTTGAACTCGTAGCAGCTGCCACTTTGTCGCCGAGTGCCGACACTCTTCCGTCAGTTATGTCCGTCCCCCTGCTAGTCGCTCGCGGGAGAGTCGACGAGCCTGCGATTGTCAGAATAATTAACTTGTAACTTCTCTTGACAGATGCATTTCGCGCTCACCAACCTCGAATGCGTGGGTCTTGTGCTCTCAGACGTGCGTACTGATCCGCAGTCATACACGTACACTGTGGTTCACGAGATCTACTGGGCGAAGCTGGGGTCGACAAAGGTTTTCTTTTCGTTTTTATCTTATTTTGTTTACTTGGAGGTTCTAGTTTCAATGAATAAGACGACGAAGCTTTTCTGGAGAATTTAAAAGAAGGTGACTGAAAAGCAATTGGACAAATTAATTTCTAAATACGTTCTGAGGTACTGCCAACATGCAACATTAAATTACACTATTACACTTTCATACAGAAAACAAACGCAAGCCCTCGAATGCCTTAATGTAATTTATTACATTATTATACATGTGAATTATTATATTATTATTATATATGTTTGGCTTGGTTTATTCAAAAAAAATGTACACTACATTTTACCTTTAGGTCATGGCAAATCCAGAGGTACCTCGGAGCCTTTTAATATTTACGCAACATTAAAAAAATAACATAAAAGAAAGTAGTAGTTAATAATAAAACGAAGTATTAAAGTTTGGAAAAAAAATGGTATGGTTTTTCCTTCAAAAATATTTAAACTTGCTACCTTCACCTTTTTTAATAAATTCTATTCAAACCAACCCTAATGACCCATAAATAATAGCATTAAATTGCCTTCAAATCACATTACATAATTATCAATTATTATGTTAATATGTTTGGCTTGTTTTATACAAGAATGAATAGGTTTTATTGTCAGATCAGGTCCGTTGAACGGATGCCAAAATTTAAAAAATCATAACATAAAACAAAGTAATAATTAATAAAAAATGGAAGCACTTAAAACGGTTTGATTTTTTGTTTGAAAGCCTTTAAACTTTGACATATTCACAATTATTTTATGAATTTCGTCCAAAAAATTTCAATGCCCACTAAACATCATTAAATTAAATCCACCTATTCGATTACATTTTCCTAAAATAGCCAAATGCAAATCGATAACACCTTAAAATCATATTTATTACATCATTATCTTTATTAAGATTTTCGTTTTTTATACAAAGATTTTATGTAAACATGGACTACAATTTATTATAAGGTCAGGTCCATTCTACGGTAGACACAGGGTTTTTTAAAGATTCCGTTTATGTCAATTTAAAACTTAAACTTAATTATTTAAAATGTATACTATAAATCAAAGTAATATATGACAATAAAATGAATCCCTTAAAGTTTGGCCAAAAAAGCTTTGAATTTTTATCCTTCGAAAATTTCGATATTTTCAACATTTTTTGATCAATTTCATTCAAACAAATCCTAACGTTTAATAAATAAAGGAAATGTTAAAATGTGCCAAAAAGTTCGGCTTTGCATGTTAAAAAAAAATCTTAACATCGCGAGGAGGCACACAGCACCCTTATCAATTATAAAACGAGTAAGGTTGTTTCTCAGCACACAAACATTGGCATTGGGTGCATTTTTTTAATATATACAGTTGTTTGATTTGTTCTTTTAGAAAAGAGGGTGGTATCATTCGGTTATATGAATAATATATTGTATTTATAAACAAATATCTATTGTTTCATTATAAAAAACTTACGCAACATTCCTTGAATTGCTTCGCGTCTATAGGAGAGGTGAAATTAAGGCCCCAAGTGTCGTTGGTCATCGGGTCTTTCCAGTAAACGAAACATTCCGCCGCTTGTCCTATCCTAGTGCCTGAAAATAAAAAAAGAATCTAAATAAAACTCACATAAACACACTAATTGTACTGATTATTCTGTTTATCTGATAAAAAAAAGAATTGCATGTTCAACCGGCAGTTGATATCGAACGGTCCAAATAAGAGGCTCGCACTCGGTTATTATTTACCTGGTTGAACGAGTCGTACGTCTAAGATTTTGTCGACCTGGCTGTTGTAGGCTGTGATGTGAAAAACACAATCAGGAGAATCTTGTATGCACGTGATGTTGACGGGGACCAAGTCTTCGGACACCTGCTGCCATTTTACTGTCCCCGCTCCGCTCGAACTGACATGAAACACTTCCGCCCACAACCTGAAATAAAAGATTATTTCACAAATGTTTGCGTTTCGTCAATAGTTGATTGTCTGTTTTACTAGAATAGGGTTTTAAATTAAACACCAAGCCACTTCCTAATATAAATAAGGCTTCGTTGTTCCTTTCTTAAGGCTTCGTAAGCTTTTAAAAAAACATTTGAAGTAATTACGATTACTGGGTAAATCTACTACTATTATAATTATGTAATTTATATGATTTATTATATTTTTATATAAAAAGATCCCTTAATTACGAGAAAAACGAACAATTGTGATTCAATTCTTTCAGACTGAATGTTGATTATTTAGCAGTATTTTAAGCAGTCTTCCATCATTTTCAATAGACAGAAGATTGTTAAAAATTAATTAATTATACGTTAAGGTTTGTAAGTATCAAATATCAAATTGGCATGATGTTTTAACAGGATGTCAAGCATCATTATGCCACTATTTTCAGCTGTTTTTCAAATCTTTAATAAGCATTATGCTGCAATGATGTATACATACACAAAACAAAAATAATGTCACAAGTTAAGACACAATTTACAAAACAGTACAAACCTGTATATTTTGCCACATTTACGGCACTTCCAAAGTCGGCAAACAAACTTGTAAAACGCCTTCCTAGTAATTTTTTGCTCGAAATAAACAGTCTAACAGCTTGGCTAAGAGGCCAGCCAAGTTTAACAGAGGAAAAGTAGATTTTTTTTTTATCGTCGTAGAACGTTTGTACACATAGTCATTACTTAAAGGGAAAGTGAGGGATAAAATATGGCAGTTGTTGAAAAGAGGGAAGGAAAAAAGTTGGTACCATTGATTTTGTAAGTGTTAACTTCTTAACTGTCGCTCTTTTGACAAGTTGGACAACGAAACCAGGAAAGACTATCGATCAGTAAGATTCAGGGAGCTTGTAACATATCCCCCTTCATGTAAATATCTTTTGCTATATTATATGCTAAACTTGGTAAATAAAACTATCCTTTAAAGCTATTAATGTAGACTAACCACTATTTTTCCCTTATGACTGACCACATGACAAATAAATAAATACAAAAGAAATAAGATAGAAAGTATAATAATTTTTAAAATTGTAAAATTATAATCTACATGTATATATTGCGAGATTGATGAGGGGTGTCTTAGAACTGGAATCTTGTTGGTGTTAGCAACTGAAATGGGTTTAGTTGTTCTGATAGCTTCTTTCCAGTCAAGTGGATTTTCTGAATTCTGGCACTCCAAATGGAACTAGATTACCTAAGGAGATGGCCGTCCCTCCTCCTCGAAGCTTGCCACGGCGAGTCTTCATATTTGTACGATTTCCTAATGAGAGGGGCGCAGGAACAGCTCAGCTTGTTGCCCATTATTAGACCTGGGTCACCCTCCTCCTGTCACGATCCACCACCTCCATCAACCTGGAAAATAAAACGAATTATTATAATATTCCGACAACTTTGATAGAAAAAATATTTCGGACTTTTAAAAAAATCATATAAAAAAAATAATATTTTTCCCATCATCAATCAATCGAATGATAATTTCCTGCATAATCGAAGGAATTCCGTGGTCTTTGGTTGTAAATTGTTCTGTGGATCAGCTGTTTAATCATCCGTTGAGTGTGAAGCATTAACTCGTCTGACAAAGATAGATAGCGACGGTAAGCTCTAAGCCAGAAGTCATCAGCAATATTGAAATATGACATCATTTAAAATAGATGGTTTTATTACGATCATAGGTCATTATTACGATCGTGAAGGGTATTTGGATTGTTCACAATTCTAAATTATTTCTAACTCATATATGTAATTATTTCATGATATTGTTATCTTTGTATTAACAATGGAACAGTAATAATAATTTTATAAGAAGAACATAAAAGAAAGGCCTAACTGGAACAAAAGAAATATTTTCGATATTCTGTCAATTAAAGAAATTAGAAATACAACTGTAGAGGTTATAAAATTATTAAGATGACTATATATTGATGAAGTAGAAACAAACAACTTTTGTCTACTTGCCGGACACATACGCGGACTTTGGCCCAAAAAATAGTGTCTCCCTCGCATGATTTTTTTTAATCGAGTAAGGATGATCCTTATTCTACAATTCATATCCTCCGAGGGTCACCCATTAACCGTTATTTTGGTAGATAGAAGCTTGCCGATCCAACCCTACCATTTCCTTTTAATAGTGTTTTTATTGTATTTTTATCATTAGAGGGTAATCGCGGTGGCCAGGTCTAAATATTTTATAAATTTTAGGATTTAGACCCTAAATTTTTTCATATCGTTGGTTGTCTTAAGGTATGCAATCCACGTTAATATTTTTTTAAGATCTATTCCTAGGTCGGTAATTTCTTTGGAATGCTTTATTTCGTGGTTTCATTAAGTCAGAGCTGTAAGATTGCGCTTCTTTTTCTTGGTAAATAACACAACTGTAGCCTTCGAGGGAGTTTATATATTAAACCCCGACCGGTTTGGCAAAACAGTGATGGTAGTCTGAGTCGACCGACACAGGTCTTGAGGGTAACGAAAGACAGACGAGGCGTCCATCGTCCCCGGACCTGACCACCGCGACCGGACCCTCTAATGATAAAAAAGCAATAAAAACACTATTAAAAGGAAATGGTAGGGTTGGATCGACAAGCTTCTACCTACGAAAATAATGGTTAATGGGTGACCCTCGGAGGATCTGAATTGTAGAATAAGGATCATCCTTACCCTTAACCTTTATGTATACATTTCGATTGACAGATCTATGATTACTCACGGAACTTAGATATGGTGGGCCAAAGTATAACATAGAAAGGCAGAGATTGAAGGGATTGGTCAAAATCCAAACTAAATAAGAAGGTGCGACTCTTGCCGACCTGGACTACCACGGACCTACTTACATTGGAGAAACTGCAATGAAAGTTTCTCTCCCGAAACATTCAACGAGATATTCACCAATAAAATGCTACATATGTACAACGACATTTAGCGAAAAATATCACTAATGTACAGAGGAAGAAACGATTTTTTGTAGTTGTAAAAAAATGTAACTTAATATAATGAAAACGTATGAACTATTTGTTTCATTGTTATTTTACCCAACGGTTTATTTAAATAGTAATGATTAATGATGTAAAAAAGTTGACGAAGAGAGCGACGAGAAGCTTTAATGGGTCACGTCGTGGAATGTGATGGAAGGGGGATGTGATAACGCAAAATAAAGGTAGTCACAACTCGTCTAAACCCATGGTAAAAGAAAAAAACAGTGACTTCACAAGGCAAAAAATAAGGGTGGTCACAACCTCTCCCCAGTCAAGCACCAAGATGAATGAAAATCGTGACGTCCCAAGGCAAAATAAGAATGGTACAATAACAACCTTCATCAAATCCTATGGGGAAAGAAAAACATGTGAAATCACAAGGCGAAATAAGGGTGGTCACAACCCCTCCCCAGTCAAATATTTGGCGTCACAAGGAAAACTAAAGGTGGTCACACCTGTTTTTTCGTCAAACACTATGGTGAATGAAAAACACGTGACGTCACAAGGCAAAATAAAGGTGGTAACACTCCCTTCCCCGTCAAACACTATGGTGAATGAAAAACTCGTGACGTCACAAGGCAAAATAAGGGTGGTAACACTCCCTTCCCCGTCAAACACTATGGTAAAAGAAAAACGCGTGACGTTACAAGATAGGGGTGTAACAACCCTCATCAAACCCCATGGTGAAAGAGAAACACGTGCCGTCACAAGACAAAATAAGGTGGTCACAACCCCCCCCCCGTCAAACATCATGGTATATGAAATACATGTGACATCACAAAAACGTTATTTCTAGAAAGTTAGTTAACCTAGTTTTTGATTCCATATCTCTAAGAAGAATTTTTGCTTCTCAAAAGAAAAGAAAATCTTCCAGGAAATCCATTGGCACGGAATGCAACAATACATAAAAGTTATTTATGTTGAATCTATAATTCGTTTCCTATAAATAGTTTTATTTGCAATATTTTGTTAATACACTAGACTCTTGTTAATTCGAAGCTTGATAATTCGAATTTCTTGATAATCAGAACTCCTTAGCAGGTCACTTCGGAAGATAGAAAAAATTCTGTGCATTTTTATACACTCGAAAATATTTTTCGTAACAGGGGGAAAAAGCGTACTATTAATCGAATTGAAGCCACTTCCCCTCTTTATAATTTGCACTTTTTCTTTGTTATATATTTCTAAATTTGCATGTATTGTTCACTTCATTACAGCCTAAAGTTTGTTTCAATTTTCTCTGGTTGGTTATGTTCTGAGGTCAGTGTTTTGTCAATGTATTCTCAGCACTGGCCACTTTGGAAAATCATTTAAACCAAGGACGCCAAACAACCACTTCACGATTTTTTTTAATTATTCAGAAATCGTGAGATGCGGTCTGGTGCGATGTAGGTTTCAGAAAAACATTTTCTTTATCGTCTCAACGTTTCGATCTTTATTGAGCCCTGAAGATGATCTCAATAAAGATCGAAACGTTGGCACGATAAAGAAAATGTTTTTCTAAAACCTACGTCACACCAGACCGCATCTCACGATTTCTGAATAATTATCGATTAACGGTCACTAACCACCACACAGATTTTTTTAATAATGCGTAACTATGTTCAATTTTACAGTTGATCTATTTCCGCTTTTTCATTATTTTTACTGTTTTATATAGGTACAATTTAAGTAATACAGTAGGTCGAGATGGGGAGTTGGTGTCCGAGTGGATCGAAGTCACGATAGCTCATGTGGTTAGAGCAGCGGAGTATTGAGCCTAAGGTCGTGGGTTCGAATCCCGCTCGTGACACTTGCTTTTTCATTTCAACCAATACCTTACATAAAGATTAGTTAATTGAAAGAAGTTATTTGGTCAATTGAACCACAAAATATAATGGATTTATTAAATAATAAATTAGAAAAATACATATGAACTTTAAGGGTTTTTTTTCTTCATGACAATTCGAATTATTTTTGTGGTCCCTTGGATTTCGAATGATCAAGATTCCACTGTTAATTTACGTCGAATGTTTTTACGTACTTTGTGTTTATTCTTTTTTTTCAGACTGCTTTACTTCTTTTTCACTTTAAAAAAAATTCACCGTTTGAATTATGACCCCAGGACGATTTTATACGTGTGTCCTCAAGCCGAAAATTATATAAGGATGAAGAATTTTGCAAGTGACCGGGAAAGAATAAAGCGTCTTTTAAGACCGCAAAGGGACAACAAGAGAACTTTGTCCATTTGCCGCATGGAGGTGTACACCCTGTTTTCCCGCAGTATGGCCCACACGGCCAGCATATTGGGTTGACAACGAACCCGGATACCGGTGAATATTATCGCGAAAAAGAAAGTTACAAAAAATCCGAGTCAAATTTGGATGGATTTTTGATCAGAGATTAACGTTTTGATTTCAAAAAACAATCACAAACGATTCCCTTTTTCTAAAAAAATGATGATGCTTGGTAAAGATTAATGTTATAGATTGTAGTTTGGGATAATTGGCAAGGCTGGAACTTTCTCGGGTGGTAATGAAGAAGAGTAAGAGCTGGAGCAGGGCGAAGGCACGGTTGATTCTTGTTTTGCCGCCTTCAAGAAACCAATTAGCATAGGGCAGCTTTCCCTCCCCCCGTGCCTTTGTGAATACCCTTAGTTCTTCCCTTCGCCAATTTTATTTAACTCAGTTTTCCTCCTCGAAAATGTGTATAATTAATTAATGCGCCCACTAATCCAAACGGGAAAATATTGAAGGTTTTTTTTGTCATGAACCTACTGGTAACTTCCATTGAGGAAGAGAGGCCGGTTTCCTGCTTTGTTTAATTTTATGAATCAGGGTCAACCCATACAATTAAAAAAAGGAAAGAATCGTCAGATAAATTGGTAAAACAGTTCGCACAATCGATTATGAGGGCTACGCCCTTTAAGACCGTAAAGGTGCTCGAAACGGATTAGTGCCATTTTACAGTTTTATTTGAAAAGTAAGATAAAAAAGCAAGATTTTCTCTTTACAGTTCCAGTAACATCCATATTCGAATGTCGCATTACAAAATGAAATTTGATCACATTATCAAAAAGATTTGTCAAAACGTCTAGAATGTATTTTTAATTAGCACTTAAGGGGAAACAAGATTTATCTTATTTATGTAGGACGGGAACTTACTGGTGCAGTTTTTTCAAATACTATTCATATAATTTCCCTCATATTTTACATGCTGCATATATAGAGAGTGCAAGAAGGCCGCCAGATAAGAGAATTGAGCTTGAGTATTTGGGCTCCAGTTCCGTTTGTTGGAATAAACACTGCTATTATACTGTATATATTACTGATAGATATTTTGTTTTGAGATTGAATATATTTATTAGCGTAAATGTGTAGAGTGAGAGGGCTGATGGTGAAA